TGCTGCTGATCAATGTTAAAAAAGAGACAAGATATTCTAAAGCTTGGTAATCAATGTTCTAAAACAGACAAGTTATTGTAAATTATTAGTAAATGTTAAAACAATCGACAAGCTATTCTAAATACTTGTAATCAGTGTTCAAAAATAGGAAAGTTATGCTAAATACTTCTGATCGATGTTAAAAATCGACAAGCTATTCTAAATACCACTATTTAATGTTTAAAAACAGAAACGGTATTCTAAATAATGGTAGTCAGTGTTAAAAAACAAACAAATTATTATAAACGCTGCTAATCAATGTTGAAAACAAACAAGATTTTCTAGATAGTGATAATCAATTTTAAAAACTATATAATCATATATTATTTCATTGTTTCATTTCTGGTTGCTAGATGGCAGGACAGATTGTTCTTATATAACTATACTTTGTGACTTTCATTGCACAAACACGATATCTGATAAAACAATTTCAGTAAAAATAAATAAAGAAAGAAAGATCTAAATTGACATTCGATGTATCAAATAGATTAATTATTTTTGCAACTGACAGATCTGTGTACATATTATTGATGTCTAAGTTTAAAAACACCAGCTGATGGAACACAGCTGATTCAAAGTTATGGCCTTAATCTGAATGCAGTTCATATGGCATACCAAACCTGAAGAAGAAATCACTAATAGCTGAAGCTACAGTTGTAGCTTCCTGATTTGGTATTGCATATGCCTCAGGCCACTTGGAGAAATAATCCATCATCACACAAATATATCTGTTTCCAGCACGAGTTTGGGGCAAAGGACCAGCAATGTCAATGGCTACTCTTTCCATTGGTGCACCAACTTGATATAACTTCATTGAAGCACGTCCCTTATGCTTGGGTCCCCTTTTAGCACAACATGTACTGCAGGTCCTGCACAATTCTACCACATCTTGACTCATACCTATCCACTAAAATCTCTGTCGTAGGTGACTCAATGTCTTCTTAACTCCAAGATGTCCTCCTGTTACAGTATCATGGGATTGACGCAACACAACTTCTCGTAACTTTCTCGGTATAATCGTTTGCCAGATCGTCACTTTCCCATCTGCAGTTTCCCATCTCCGGAGAAGAATACCATCTTTAAGCCTCAACTGGTCCCATTATGCCCAATAGTTCTTTGTCACGGGGCTTAGACTAGACACCTTCTCCCAAGCAGGGTGTAAAACACTTGCTTTTAGAAAATCAATTATTGGCTTCAAATCTTTGTCTTGCTCCTGCTCTGATTTTATATCTATACCTGGTTCCATTTC